CGTCAGGCGGCAATCTGGCCCCACCCGAACGTCTCGGCGGTAATTAGGGTGGGGTTCCCCGTACTATTCTCCATCCCACCCCCAGTTCTTCGGAGGCGCAGAGGAATCTCGAAGTTGTGATTAGGGGACGGTTTGGGAGTGGAGCAGGGTCCGGACTCCGGTGAACTTCGGTTGCGGCTGGAATTTGAATTTGGAGCGTTTGGAAGATGGACGAGGAATCAGAGTTGGGGACAGCTGTTAGATTCGAACTCGCTGCTCTAGGCGCTAGGAAGATTCGAATCCGGGATCTGAAAATTCAGGTTTGGAATTTAGTGTAGGAATCAAACTTGGAGATAATAATGTAGAATCGAGGGCAACTTTCTCAGGCTCAGAGTTACACGAACGCACTCAGCGGGGCCTTTGCCGCACTTCGGCGACAGAGAAACGGGTTGGGAGAAGCAAAGGGCCTGCCTGCCGCCTTCTTGGGGCGTCTTGCCCTGGGGATGGTTCTGGCAGAGCAGTTCCCGGCGCCCCTACACCCCAAATCCTCTTGTGGGGCGCCGTCGCCCCCTAGCGGAAAAAACACGAGTTGCAGGTTTGGTTGGTTATTCCCATTCCTCAAGCCAGCCCAGGCTGGCTTCCTTCTAGAAACACCGTCTGCCCTTGGATTCAGAGACACATCTTCAAAGTTCTTCTCTCTGTATCTGGGGATTCGGCTCATTCATATGTCAAATGAGCTATTGATACCTAAGGGAAGGGTTATTGTGAGGACTTAGCTCATAGTAAGTGCTCAATTTATCTTGGTGGTTATCAAGTTGATGGTAACATTTCTATTATTTCTAGAGCCCCTCTTCCTGTGACTGTGTGGCTCCTCCCCCTATATATCATCTTCAGAGCACATATGACTGAAGTGCTCTTGTTTCGTTTTTATGTCTGTCGCCCCCTCCCCCCATGAGACCATCAGCTTGCAGGGCAGGGACGGTGGTCTGATTTATTGGCATCTGTGTGCACAGTGCCTGCCACAGGTGCTCAACATGTAGTTATTCAAGGAATAAATAAACCATCCATCTCAAGACTGATCTCTGTGGTCTTATTAAATTCTCACAACCTCAGCAGTTACACTGGGAAACTGAGACACCAAGTGGTGAAGTCCATTGTGGTAGGACTCCACTATTTCTTTTGTTCATTCATATAACACATGATTCAGTAGCGCCTTCTGGTTTGGGGCAGGATGATGCAGCCGTGATGAAAACAGTTTCAGCCCCTGCTTGCTGAGGACTTGTTCAAGGGCTGTTTTATTTGTATGACAAACTTGAATCCTGCACTTACTGCATGCCAAGTACAGACGTAGGCACTCTGCATAGAACTTATTTCTTTCTCCTAACAACCGTTATCCCCGTTTTAGAGATGAGCAAACTGACACACATGGAGATACTGAATTACTGGCATAAGGTCACACTGCTAGTAAGTGATCCTGGGGAAAAATTACACCCAGTGATGAGGCTGCTTATGAAGGAAGGAGAATCAGGGAGATGGGAGACTTTTCATCAGCCACCCAGACGTCGTTGGGGAGATGGAGGACCAGTATCTTCTAACTTTGCCAGAAAAAGAAGTAGGCACCCAGAATTTGAGCTTCCGATTGTGAAGATCAAATAAAAACATTTTCAGATGAACAAGACTCAAAGAGTTGCTATCCAGAATGTTCTCTGAAAGAGTTAGAAGAGAATGTACTCTAGCAAGAAGTAAAAATGAATTCAGAAGGAAGAAAGTTATAAAGAGTAACAGAAAATTGTTATGAGTTGAATTGTGTCCCCACAAAAAAAGATATGTTGAGGTCTTAACTCCCGTTTTTCAGAATGTGACTTTATTTGGAAATAAGGTCTTTACAAAGATAAGTTTAAGTGAGGCCACTAATCCAGTTTTACTGGCGTCTTTTTGAAATGGGGAAATTTGGACTCAGAGACAGACATGTACAGAGGGAAGACAGACACACAGGGAGAAGCTGGCCATCTATAAGCAAAGGAAGGCCTGAGGCTGCCAGAAGATAGGAGAGAGTTCTGGAACAGATCCTTTCTTAGTGCATTCAGAGGGAGCATCACCCTGCCAACATCTTGATTTTGGACTTGCTTATTCCCCAGAACTGTGAGACAATAAATTTCTGTGGTTTAAGCCACCCAGTTTTTTGTACTTTGTTACAGCAGTCCTGGGAAACTAATACCATGAACCAATTATATAAATAAAAATTAATTAGTGGGGAGGGTATAGCTCAGTGGTAGAGTGCATGCTTAGCATGCATGAGGTCCTGGTTTCAATCCCCAGTACCTCAACTTAAAAAAAATAGTTAATTAGAAAAAAAATCTTTTTACAGTAGGTTTCTAACAAAAGCCAAAGTCAATGGAGAAATAGAGATAGTGTATTCATGGATTCGAAAAAGATGTCAATCTTCTTGTAATTAATCTATCAATTCAAAGCAATTCCAATCTCAATCCCAATAGGAGTTTTCGTGGAACTAGAAAAACAGCTTCTAAAATCCATCTCGAAGAGAAAATGTACAAGAATGGTAAAGACAGATTTGAAACTGAACAGAGGTGGGGGATTTGCCTCATGTGATATCAAAACATATCCAAGTAAAATAATCAAACCGTCTGAAACAGAGGAAAGGAACAGATAAAGAGATGAATGAAACATAATAGAAATGTCAGAAACAGACCTTTCTAGATATGGGAATTTGGCATATGATAAAGGTGGAATATGAAAACTAGGGAAAGGACAGACTTTTAAAGTAAATGGCATCAGGACAATTGGCTACACCCATCATAAATGCCCACCTTAGTACATTTTCAAAAATAAGCCTCATATGGATTAAAGACAGAAACAAAGTCAAAACTAGGAAAATATTAAAAGGAATGATAGAGTATATTTATGACCTTGGGGTATTACAAGCCTCTTAAACACACCAAAAACAAAAGTCAGGATAGAGTAGATTGATAATACAGGTGTGAATAAACACTAAGAACTTCTGCATGATAAAAAATAAGTAAACAAAGTTAAAATAGAAATGAAAAAGAGGAGGAAATATTTGAAATATATGTAACTAACCATTAGAATTGGAATCTGTAAAGTACTACAAATTAATAGTAATAAAAAGGCATACAACCCCATTTTAAAAATGGGCATTCATAAATAGTCTAATAAACCTCTAGGATTTGAAAAAAATGGGCAAAGGATATGAGCAAGCAACTCACGGAAAACAAAATATTTAAGACCAATAAACTCACAAAAATGATGTTCTCTCTTCTTAGTAATCAGAGAATTGCAAGTTAGAACAGTGTGATACTATCCTTTCAGGAAATGACTAATACTAACTCATCAGCCAGGACTCTACTCAGATGTCCCTTTCTCTAGGAAGTTTTTCCTGACCCTCGGGGTGGCTTAGGTGTCCCCTACCCCACTCTCCCCCTGGCCCTTTGGGGTCTCCTGTCCCCGCCCTGCCCACTCTGGGTCGTCACTGTTTGGGAACGGGTCTGTCTCTCCCAATGCGCTGTGAGCTCCAGGAGGGCGGAGCGGGGCTATCGTTATCACTCGTCACCACTGTGTCACCAGCACTGCCTCGCACAGAGCTGGGAACAGAGGAGGCTTTGGGGGAATATGTGTGGAATAAGTGAATTGGGGAGTGAGTGGGGAAACTGAGACCAAGTCAATGGCAGAGCTGGGATTCAAACCCAAGTCTGTACTGAGAGAAGGGACCTAGTTTGATCTCCTGCCATCTCTTCTCCACTAGCCTAGAGCCCGGGCACACAAGAGGTATTTGAAATGTAACTGCTTGGCAACCAGAGCCACTCAGGCCCAGAGCCACTCAGGCCCAGAGACGCATAGCTCTTTCCAAACCAAAACTCCGCAGTCCTCCACAACCATTGACAGCTGCGCGGAGACCGCCCCTCTCCACGCCCTACCCCTTAGGGGAACGATGGGAACGGGGTGGCGGGCTAGAGAGGCCGGAAGTGAGGCGAGCCTAGGCCGCGCTAGCCACACCGGCGTGGAACGCCTCGATCTCCCTCCGGGTCTTTCCGTGACTCGGGGG